TGATTCTTATAAATCTAATAAATAAACTGCGGATTCTTATGCAAATTTAGTTTTTACGAATTTAAAATTAAAGAAATAGAATCTGAGCAGAAGTTCGTTTCAGCTATAAAATGTTTTGTGTATTTTATGAAATTTCAATATGTCTAGTATACTCTTTTGGCACTTTTAAACTCTTTATAAATGCACAGTTCATTAATAAAAGTCGCTGTATTTATTACGCTTGTCAATGTCACCAGAAAGATATGCCGACCGCAAAGAGTTAACCCTCAGAGAGTGGATAGTTTTGTACATATGCACGTTGCATGTGCTGCGACGAATGGGTCAGATTTGGCTTAATGGCGTACATATTTCGTTTTACGTATCTGGAAGCAAATTCTTACACTAGATTTTTCGTTCTTTATAGTGTATAACAATTAAGAGGGAAAATATATTTACACATTTATTTTTACAAACATGTATCTGTTCTGTAATTGTGCAATTATTCTCATTTTCTAACGACCACGTCATCATTCTGAGAATCAATCATAGTTATCATTTTACGTACGTATATAAAAATATTCGAACAATTTTATGAATACATATATCGTGCATTGTATGTAACATTTTGACATTTTATTATCATGACTATATGGCTACATGTTGATTAAGTTTGAGACTACGTCTAAAAATATTCAATGTATGAAAATTACAAAATATTTCAATACAACCATATTTAATATAATATAATACATTATATTATATACTAAAATAAAGTTTAATATAATATAAACATTTAATATAATATCTAGAATATCTCTTCATGTTCCATACTCTGTATTACCACAGATTGGTTTCAAATTTTACCAATATAATCATAATAATCTTCCAATGAACGTATCAACGAAATTTCAAATTATGTCACGGAAATCGCATACTTTCACAAACCACTGTACGTGCCGAGGAAGAGATTGAAATTTTATCATCCGTAACTTTTCTTCTTTGATTTTTCGTTTCGACGTTTTTACATTCGATTGGCTACCTTTGCTTCACCGTTGTAAATCTACGCGTCGCGTTGTTTTTAGAGGCTCGTAAAAAAGAGAGCAACGAGAAAATCGTTCCCCGTCGGTACCGTGTCCCGCAGATTTTCGCACGACCTGCCCGGGACGTTTAATTCTCGTTTATCTTCGCTCGGTGCTAGACAGTTGGAATAATTTCAACCCGTTTGTCTTCGAATACGCGCCGTTTAATCATCGGTAATTACGTACGTAAGTGGCTGGATATAATCTCATAATCCCCGTCGTGTTTTTTCGTGTCGAGGATTATCGACACTTTTGATCAAACTTGTTTTGTACGTTCCTTCGTACAGAAATATGTTAAATTAAATATGTTAAAAACGTTCGATTTCCGATCTTTGACGAATATTTGCTCGCAGATTATCAATTATCGATAATGAACACGCGATCTGTTGAAATTGTAAAATTGTTAGATGAAACAAGATCGGAAAATCCTCGATTAGATTCTATATTCTCTTCTGTACACTTTCCCTGCATTTCATTGTTATATCTTCAAAATTGTTAGAGTCAACGTTAACAAATTGTTTCTTAAGTTTTTCAAAAATATAATCAAATCGAACATTAATCAAATATTACTGAACGTAATATTAGATTTACGTATGTAAAGTGACACAGTTTAAATAGCCAAGTATGAAAATAACGAGAGCTAATAAAAATTACAATTAAAATATTAAAATAATAAAAGTATTTAGTCGTTTCTTGGTGAATTCTCTCCAGAAATGAATTGATCAAGGAATCGTTCTTTGTTACTATCTTTATATTGTTTTAATACTATAAATCTTCATTAAACATTACGTATGTATTAAATGAATAAAAATGTCAAGACATAGTATCGTTTTCTGTACATCGCTATTTTACGCAAGTGTCTCACAGGGCTGCAATTGAAATTTATTTCACTCATTAATACACTGGTGAACGAAATATCCTATCCCCCATTTTTCCAACTTAATTGCTCCCTTGGTATCAAATTAATACTTACGGCGAAAAGATAAACGGATAAATTTGCAAATTCCCTTATTAACACAGCAAACAGGATAGATTTCTATTCAACTGCGTTTCACACACTATACGAAAATTCCAATTCGTTTTGCGCACTTTGTACGAAAAGTGTGTCAAACTAGCATGCAAGGAGCGAACGAGGATTAATAAAACTATAAATATTAGAAATGCTTCTCTTTCATCCATCGTTGCATTTCTCTTCTGACTCTCCTTTTCTCAATCATACGAATTTTCTCTCCACCTCTCCATTTTCCTCCGTCTTCGATGCTTCAGGCATTTTCTGTGGGGAAAAGTCGCGTCCTTCCTTAAATTTCCTGCTTCTAAATTTTTCATTCGCGGTCGGCGGGCTCTCCTCGTTCCTTTCTCCGACTGGTTATTGGATGTCTCTCGTCGGCGGTGAAAAAGATTCCTTGAGGCGTGTGCGCGCGGACCGACGAAAAAAGTAAAAAGCCGCCTTGAAACAGGCTCTGCACGAAACACCCCTCCCGAACCTTGCAATTAGACGCGCGTAAATGGAAAGGTGCACGTGTCACTAACCGTGTGCTGGCAATGATTCACAAGCCTTTTCTGCTACCCTGTCTCCCACGCGAATACATTTTTCTCCTCTCCTCCTTTTTTTTTCATTTCTTTCCCCTTTCCCTATTTTCTCTTTCTTTTACTACCGCTTTTCTCCCTTTTTCTCTCATCTTGACGCTCGTGATACTTTGGTCTACGTGCTCCTCATTCGAGATGAAACTTAGGACTTTCGTACCGAAAGGCTGATAAATTAGTTGCATTAGCTCTCCGTCGAAAGACGAAATTACGGAATTACTGTAAAATTTCATTTATATGAAAATCTTGCTCTCCGGACAAATAGTTTGTAAATAAGTGAAAGTTATACGTATACTACTTAACTCCTTGCACTGGGACGTTCTTAACTAAGCATTTGTTATATTACGTCAGTAAAGTGTAAATTTTTGTATTTATTAACCTTCAATTTTGAAGAATTTAAATCTAAAATATGAATTCAAACGCCCTTATAATCGCTTTTGGAAATGGAAACCATAATTCGTACCAGGAATATATGGTGTACATACACGTCTTTTGGTTCGATGAAAATTGGTTTCGACTAATTTTTGAAACGAAGGAAAATTGATTGAAATTTAACGCGATATTTAAATAATTTTCTGTTTTATAAAATTCAATCAAGAAATATTTAATATTTCATGTAGATTATAAATTTAAAACTCTATAGATCTTTTATACATATGTATACTCACATTCGAAAATATTTTGTCTTCTTTAGATGAAATAAATAAAGCACTTTCTCTGCTTTCCATTTCGAAATAAAATTAATCGCACTTTCAATATTTGAAATTATTATATCGCAAATAAATATATTCGTGATCGAATCTACATCAGCATATGCTCTTGTAAACATCTTTCATGCCTTACATTATAAAATTCTTCGTATCATGCGACGATTTTTGTAATCATACTATCTCTACTGGCTTGAAAGACAAAATTATTACTTAACCCATATTAAGGATCAAGCAATAATTTACAAATACTTCAATTTTTTGAAATTCTACACAGTTCTGCAAACCATTTTACAAATGGAAGAAATGCTAGCGAAAAAAAATAACTAACTAACCAACTAAGTAATTTGGAATTAACTTGATCGTAACTTCGTGAAAAAATTCGATACTAATAAATCGGTCGAGAAAGACTTGCAAACAGGATTTGCGTCATTGCGACGTTGATCCTTAATGAAAGTTCAAAGTTCCTTTTTTATACGCGAGCGATCCGATTAAATTTTAAAAATGACCTGGCATTTGACGAGCCGCGCTTCCTAATTTTACACCGTGAAAATGATTTAAGGTGACATTCAACAAATTCTGTATATTCCCGCGATCGATGATAATTAAAGTTGGTAGATTTATAGCTTGCACGGCTCCAAACTGGAGAAACTGAGGATTCGCGTATCAACCAATTCCCGAAGGTATGAATGGCTGAAGTTTAATCAAGACAACTATGTGAAACACGGATTCAAAGAGAATTGCATGTGCGTACCTGCATTTCAAAGTCTATGATTAAATCTGGCTTACGACGAGCGTTCGTGCATAGGTGTGTGTTAAAAACACACGAGTAACGAGTAAACATATAGCCAGATGAAAAGGATTTTCGTGTGGTTCCAAAAATCGAGAAACGTATAATATATATAAAAGATCAAAGAGAGAACGTGGTTGTTTCTCTGAAAAGCGAAACGGTACCCCCGTTAAAAATATCTCTTTTCTCGGAATGTGGCTGTGAATACATCGATCAGGAAAATACTAATCGTTTCATTCGCGATGTTTATAAAAATAAAATTTGAATGAAAATCTTCTGAACACTGCTGAGTCTTTGCAGTCCATAATTATTTTTATAGTATGTTCTAGCAAGTCTCCTCACTTGAACTGAAAAAATTGGACAAAGACAAAAATAAAAATTAAAAGCTTTTTTAAAAGTATAAGAAACAAACTTAATAAAACTGACAATAGGCAGTCTAAACACAAGATTTGCCAAGATAAAATTGTCGTTCAGAATAAATCGTAAAGTAGTATACACAAATTGCAATATAATAGAATAGAACAGAATAAATTGTTTGTAATTGTTTAACTTTATCGCACGTCTGAAGAAAATAAGATTCACGATACCCTAAGTTTGTAACATTTGTGCCAATCGTGCTTACATGTATCTTTATAAATGAATATCATAGAAATGTGAAAAGTTTCGGAGATGATAAATCAGTCATCGAAACGATATACACACGTGTAAGAAATTATACTATACTACAAACACAATTATTATTAGTTCGATAATTATTATCACACCGTCAAAAGTAAATTATCGAAAATCGTACGTTTTCCAATTTTAATGTACTGCGAGCTATCGAGATGATTTTTTAAACGATCGTTGATGAATTTTCAGACATCCCGAAGGCGGAAAACAGTCCGACGGAAGTAGAGTCGCAGGAAGCCTCGCAGAAGAAATCGCAGGAGGCGAAGAAACAGGAGGCTGGTTCGAAGAACTCGAGCGACAGCGGCAAGCAGCAGGAGGCGAAGGAAGAGGGAAAGGACGCGGAGAAAGAGAGGGAAGAGGCCGCGACCAGGATACAGGCGGCTTTCCGCGGCCATCACGCCAGAAAGAGTATGAAAGAGACTGAATCCTCGACAAAGCAGACGGGGACCAAATCAAACTCAGAGCCAACCAAAGAACAACTTCAGCAGGAGTTCCGCGCCGACGACAAGGGTGAGTGTGTCACGTGCCAGCCCTCGGAATCGTTCCCAAAAGGGAAGCCTTTAATTTTAGAAGCTCCCCTCCCTCCTCCTCCTCCTCCTCCTCCTTTTCCTTTTCTGCCAATCTCGTCTAGAACGTCGTCTATGTTTCTCCTTGACGAGCGAAAGAATTTCGAGAGCGTGCTTCCACCCCCGACGTTCTTTGTTCTTTGTAGCGTGTCCACCTGTTCTGTAATCTTGCGTGTTTTTATATAACCGCTCGCTACGTGCATTTTACGTAACCGCGTGTCACAGGGATTGGGCGATTTCGCTGCACCGACCAAGGGTGGAGGTCGAGGAAGTTCGAGGTAGCATCTTTTTGGTCGTTCATGCCCCGTTTGACGCGTCGGTTCGTGACAAATCGCGCCATAAATCGGCAGATTCGAGACTCGAGTACCATTTGGTTGGTAGAGATCGCGTGTGCAACGACTTAAGAACTGTATATACGGTGTCATGTTAGAATGAAATTAATATGTTGTGGAATATGTCGAAGAACACACTTACATTTGGGACACAACACAGCGGCCAAGAACAGAGGAATGTCAACATTGCATTGAGCCATCTTAAAAATTTCCAAATTCGTCGATTGATAAAAAAATGTTTAAGACCGATTCCACGTGTAAAATAGTGTTCGAGAATTGTAACACATAAAGTAACGGGTTAATCACTGGATATGAAAATATATAAAAAGGCTTACTAATGCTTGTCAACTTTTTCTAGAATGGATGATTGTTTGATTAAACGGACGTTTATTTTTTTTCTGATATAATAGTGCACTATCGGTAAAAAGTCTTCGTCATTCATAAACGAAACGCTGATTTATTAAGAAACTAGAAACATAATCTCAGCATTGTCAGATCTTCTATTTTTTATTTATTTTATTTGTCTGGAGGACAAAAGTATCCCAGAATTTTCCAAAATTAGCCACGAAGAGCGATTATAGTAGAAAAATCACGATTTAAGTTTGAAGTTTTCTCATTCGTTTACGAAAATTTCCATGACGTGCGTACTCGAAATTTTCACCGGTAATTACAATCGAAATTGCGGGCAATTTTCATAAATAGTAACGTTAAAAAGTCTGCGTAATCCGTAGAAATTCCATCGTATGTTGTAACGTTAACACGAAATGTTTCGGGAAATTCCAGACGTGGAATGTATTACGGTATGTTCATCGTTATCAAACGAAAGATTCATTTTCTCGCGAAAATTCAACAACTCGCTATACCGTGCACGATATAATATTTTCATCATAACAAACATGGTTTTATACCGCAGACACTCTGTATATTTATATTCACGTGCAATCAACTCGACACGTTGACATTTTTATTAGCTATGCCAGCCACGGTTTTGCAATTCTACGTGCCTCTTATCAAGTCACTCGCGATGAAACACCGACGTATAATGTGTTCTAAATGAAGAAATAAAATTGCCCGCATTTCCCTTCATTCTTATCATTACATTATTACTGTAGAAATTATTATTATATAAAATTAGCCGTATTTTGTGAATACAAAGCAGCTTTTTATCGCGGTTGTTATCATACGAAATGAATCGTTTTGGAAGCTTTCTTCGTGACGAATACGTAATAGCTTTCACAACCTTGGTCATTGAATTTGGACCATTTGGAATTTTCATCGTGTTTTTAGTAAAAATGTAGGATTCGAACAAAATTTAGTTATAAATAACTAAAATAACCCATATATTATGTGTGTGACGCAAAATTTTTTGAAATTTCAGAGACTCGAGTACCACGATTATATCGATTGGGTTTGAAACAAATCTAAAAAAATTTCATTGCAAGAATTCTTGAATTTTAGAACGTGCTCTTAAAGTTTCATCTGAAAAGAAAAAAAATAAACGATATTTCATATTCACTAATTTGATAATTATTAAGATTTCACTAAAACGTATTAGCAACGTATTCATCAAATACAATGTTGACTTAATAAAGTGTACGTTCAACAGTTGATAAAGTTTATTATTTAACTGCATTCAGGCATTTCAATTTTACTGACAATTGAATTTGTCAGGTTCGAATCGTGCACAAATGAAAAGCTACGAATGCTAATTTCTCTGTAATAACTCTCGACGTTAGGAGTAAGGATTATTCTGTCGATGGAATCAGTGTCGACTTGCTTTGATCCTCATCTCAGAAACATCTACTAAATTTATACAGCGAATATTAAAAAAAAAAAAAAAGGGAAGAAAACAGCAATCTAGCAAATTGTAGCAGACTTTGACGTCTGTGCATTTCCATTCGTTAATGAGAGAACATCTCGCAAAGCTTTATTTATTTCAAAGCTTGCCTCTCAGTTACGTCTCGATAAATTTAATTATTATAATTCGGCAAACTGTGTATTTCCCTCTCCACTCGTATGAACGAGAACCTCGTGTTCTCGATGAATTTTACACGCGACAGATACAGTCACATTTTTTTTTTCAACATCTCGGCAAATTAAATTCGACAATCGGCTTTGCTGGTTCGCTTCGTTAATTCGCACATATTTCGCGCGTTCTCTCTTCATCCGCGCATCGATCTTTGGATATGAATATTCCGTTTTTTGGATTATTGAAATTTTGAAAACTATAGCAGGAGAATTTTTATAGTCGTGTGAACTATTTATTTGAACTAACTGTTTATTTATTGTTTCGTACAATATAGTACAATATAGTTTTGTACAAAAACTGAATTCGGGGCGGAACATCGTATTAGTTTTTTAATAAAATGAAAGAGTCAGTATTATTAATTATTAAAGTTCACACACATGCAAGTTCAGCTCTCACAATGTATACCTACAGTAGTAATAAATAATAAAGTAATATAAAAATAATATAAATAAAATAATGAAATAATGAAATAAAATAACATGCATGTAATGCCTGAATAGTCAATGAAACTTGTAATTGAGTTCCGTTCAAATTTCGAGTTTAATGAAAACATAAAATGCTGAAAATTCTAAATGGCTTCAATTTAATTGTGGTCAACAATTATTTGTAGAAGCCACAATTATTTCATGAATATAGAGATAAAAACGAGATAAAAATATTGACCTTTCAACATGTGTATTGTTTGTTACAAACGCGTTATTTCCTTTACAACAAATTTATTTATATTGCATTGTATTATTGTAGCAAATTTGTTTCATTTTATTGCACGATTTTTAAAAAACGCAAATAACTTTTCTCTCGCGTCAATTTTATACGAGCTCAGACTAACTTCGCAGCTCGTTTCATCTACTTTAATGTCATAATAATTTCTCATGCTATTCAAGGTGAACATCTGCGAGTCGTTAGAAGATGGCAGAAAAATTCTTGCTTTCTGTAACCAACAAAACAGTCTCATTGTCTTCTGTGTGTATTGTAGTTTCGGTCTTTCCAGTTGCACCTTTGTTTTATGCTTGCGATGTACATAGTTGTATAGTGAAGTTCACTTAGATTTAAATGTTAATGTGTCTCTGTTTTTAGTTCATTGAAAATCTTCTTTTTATACGCAGAATATGGAAAGAGAGAGAGAGAGAGAGAGAGAGAGAGAGAGGTGCAATTGTGAAATAAATACACATTAACAAAAATATAATAAATTGTGAAACAAATACACCTTAATAAAAATATATTTATAATTATTAACACATTTGGAAGTATTCAGTAAAGAAACAATGAAATATGAAAATTTGCTTCCAGATACATAAAAGAAGAGACGTATTATTCAGTCAAATTTAACGCAAGCCAAGCCCAGTTTAAAGTGCGTGCAAGTATAAAACCCATTGTTCGAGAGTTAAACAATTTCCGTTGAATTCTTCGTGTTTCGTTCGTTGAATAAAACACCGCGAAAAATAGAGGAATTCATGCATTCAGCAGTTCAACATTTTTGTGCTGGACAGCTCCAATTCACAGCTTAATCGCGATATCGTTGTTTAAAATAATGATTTATGGCTGCTTATTGTTGGACGATTTATTATATCGTCCGTCAGCCATTTCGCTCTTTCCTCGTAAAAATTGATCGTGCCCCGTGTCGTTCGTTTTGCTCGCCAATTCACGTGAATTAATTTGCCACTGGTAAAAGCGAACTTCCATCGACCATGTAACACGATCCATCTGTGTCGTTGTCGGGAAATTTACTTTACATATTTGCCACCATTCCACGGGGAAATTAGGAAGGAAATTTATTTACGTGTTGAAAACATACGCTGTTTCGATTCCTTTTTTATCTGGAAACGAGAGGATCATTCCGTACGAGTGTAATCTTCAGAACAAAGACTGAGATTCTAAAAATTTCAAAATTAGTTAAGTCGTGGTTAGAGAGAGTATTAGATATCGAAAAAACTTCGTGGAGATTTTTAATTGAAAATCAGGGGATCATTTGTACGAGTATAATCTTGAGAATGAAGACCGAGATTCTAAAATTACTTAGAGTGGCTAGAGGAAATATTAATATTGAAAAATAATTCGTGCGGATTTTTAAAATAAATTTCTTCTCTGTCAAACGATGTTGAAATATTCACCAATTTAATATTTTATCGAAACTATTTTATAAATTTAAACTATTTTATAAATTTATTCATTGAAATACTTGCGCAATATCTGCTCATACTGTTTTTTTTTTATCTCCGATAACGTCAAGGTTATACCACAAGAATTCAAGAAATCCTAATATTTCGTCGTTTAACCCTAATATTCAAAGTTGAATCAAATGGCGAAAAAAAATTTTACAGCAAGTTTTAAGAGTTTCGTTGTTAAGGTTAAACTTCAGATTTCAAGAAAATGGTAGATTTAGTCGCAAAAAAATGTTTTACGTTTTTAAAGACTTTTGAATTTTGATTTTCGAGAATTTACTTTTACTTTTTCAATTCACTACATGATTGAAAATTTAAAGATATCTTTGAAAAAAACGAACTCAAGATTGTCGAAGTAGAAGCTTTAAAACGAACCAAGTGGATTGTTAGACTGTTAACAAGTTACAATTAAGCTGCGGAATTTTATTCAAACTCATAACTTTACTAATATTATAATTTAATATAATAATATAATATTATAATTACTAATATATATATATATATATATATATATATATATATATATATATTAGTTTAAAATTTAATTTAATATATAATATAATATTATAATTACTAACCAATACACAATAGAATTGAGAAAGCAGAATCACTATAGAAAGTTATTCTAGCTACCAAACATTATAGAAAACATACTTTAGATATTTTATATAATTTTTCAATGTTAGTGCAATTTTTATGCAACTGCATAAAAATCCACAGTCTAACTGTAACAGTTTAAGATATCGATAATTTTTCATTGTCATTGGTTCGTTCGTGCTATCTACTTAGAAATAAATACTGTTAAACAAGTAAATATTCAAAACATACTTCAAACATTTGTTTAACACGAAACGAAGAAGAGAAAAGATTGACTGAACGTTGCTGAACAAGTATTGGCTGACAGATAGCAAATTCACAGAAATTAATAGAGATCGAGCAAACCAGGCGAAGTTGACTGACGAAGGATAGCTAACACAGGATTAACTCTCGGGGCATTGATTAACGAAGATTGACCTGTATCAACTAATATTGAGATTGACTAATATAGATTAAATGATGTAATGTTGCTTGAAGTGATTCTCTATGTGATTAGTTCTACATTTTAATTGATTGAACTTTAAATTAAGTGACTAAAGATGCAAAAGACAAATGTAATGTAATATATAATAATAGATAAAAGACATGATAATGTGGAATGAAGAATACATTTTAATTGTGCCAATAGTAATACAGTCACGAAAATACTCTCCAAGAATTTGAAATTGCTGGATTTATTAAGAGATCTATTAAAAGAGACGGGAGATATAAAAAGCAATAATATTAAATACAACATCAATAGTTAGAAAATTCTTGTGGCAACCGCAATGAAGCAAACTGGGCATAGCCGGTTTACTTTGGCCAAAAATCCAGAGAAGGAGGATAAAGAGGAAGATAATAGTAATAATATCAGTCCCAGAAATTACATCATGGACATCGAGAATCTGAAACTAGTGGACTTATCAAGAGAAACACACAAAAAACAGCGGTACTAGACACAACACCGATAATTAGAAAATTCTTGCAGTAGCTACAGAATGAACAGCCAGGCAGATATTCAAAAGGGAACTCCGAGAAGAGAAAGATGATAAAAATAATGCAAAGATATAAAAATATAATAATAAAAAGACATAATGACAGAAAAGAAAGAAAAAGAAGATAGACAGGAATAGAAATTCTATATTTCTACAATCATTATCGAAATAAAAATTTTATACGATTGTTTCAAGAATCGAGGTCACATTTAACGTGATTATGTCTACAATTGTAGTTTCATTCGATTTTTTATTCGAGCAGGAAAATCAGAAGAAATCGATGTTTAAAAAAAAAGAAGTACAACGAGAGAAATATAAATCTGAACGATGTGCATGAAATTGCCCTACCAGGTTGAAAGTGAAATGACTATGAACGTTCAGAAGGATAGGAAAAAAGGACCATTTGGTAGTGCGATAAATAATTAATCAAATATCAACTTTATTTCTTATTGATCAACCATCCGTCGATTTGATTCTCTTGTCTTGTGCTTTCCAACGTTTCGATATTTTGATTACGTGATAAACTAATTTCCGGTAAGAAAGTTAAAGGCAAGAAAATACAAGGAAATATTCTTAGAAAGTTCTGAGAAAGTGTGAATCATTTTACTGTGAAAGATATTGGATTTTATTCGATTGAAGTTCCAATCCCATGTTGCTATCTTAGTTAACATACTCACTAATGAATCTTTCTCAAAAGTGTACAGACCACATAATTCGATTTTACAGTCGACTCCTCCAATCTTTTAGTGAATCATATATCTTCCACGTAAAGATTTTATTTCTTTTTAAATTTTTACTTTATTTTATTTAATGTAGAAATTAATTTGATGCCATGTATTTGTTGGTTTTGCTTTAAGATCATTCTGAAACTGGAACTTGCGAATGAAGTTTGTGTTCTAAATTGGAAAAATTGGATCAGACTGTGTTTTCAAACAATTTCTTCGCGCATTTGAAAGGAGTTTCCATTTAATAATTCTTCCAGCTTTTTTCAAGTTTTTATACCAAGATATTCTTGGTCAAATACGTCTAGATTACTATCAAAAGACTTTTAATTAAAAATTAGGAAGAATATGTTTTTTTTATTTAATTTACACCGTATATTATAAATATGACGATTTGTAATGAAAAATTTAATGGAAAAGCTCCGAACTAACTTGTACATCAAAAGAATACTTCAAGATTAAATCGATAATCAAAAGATGAAATTGAAGAAGATTGTGTGGCGTCTTTTGTCATTGTAAGATATATCATATCGGTAAAAGAATTTAGACACAAAGGTAATTCGTTTAATAGCCGCGTAATTAAAGACTTTGCTACACGGTGAAGATTTCAAACTGTATTCCGCAGACGGATTAACTTGCGAGTCAGGTAAATTCGCACAATACCGAATTCGGAATTGATCCTCGGTTCAGAACTAGGTCAGCCATTGTTTTTTCAAAGTGGTCGACATGGTTCAACGAAATGAACAGTGGTTAACTTGATTCCGACTGACAAGCTCTCGCTAAAACTGACGATACTTGTGTGCGTGTGAAAACCGTTTTCCGGTTTCTTGCCTCGGATCCGCCAGCAATTTTTAGATTTCGTTGTGTACGAAATAAAATCACAGAGAACGAAGGATGAAATAAATGGATTCCTTCTTCCTCTGCAGATCTGCGAGGAATTTTCTAGATTTCGTACAAAAAATGTACAAAGCAAGATGACGAGGAACGAAGAATAACCTGAAAAATCGGGCGAATCTGTTTCCAGAAGCATTTCGCGAACGTCCTGTAGATTAAATAAACAAAAAGTCACTTTACAATCTTATGCTTAATTTAGCATAACGCTTTAGAAAATTTATTAATACTAACGGGAACCTTTTTTTCACATTTTGTTTGAACTTGGGATATCTTTTAATTTTAGAACAATCGTATAAGTGAGTCGGAAGTTATCGAAAGAATAGAAGGATTGAAGAAGAATTTTACACATTCGTTTATTTATTGGTTACGTTCATAAAAATATTCTGAAAAAATATAATAAACGATGTTTCTTACAATCGTTTAATTATCTCGTTAATTTATGTTCGATGATTGTACATGGATTTTCACGATATTGCGTTCTCCGTTTATTTATTCTTTTTCACAAGACCGTGTTTTCGACGTATTTTAAACAAATATAAAAACGATGATTAATTAAGATCCACAGAGCATTCCCAATCCTTCTTTCTCTGTATTAATTAAAAGGTATTTAAAATTTGACAGACGTATGTACGTATCCGTTCTTTTCCGACTGACTGCACTGTAATTCGCCTGCACAAAAAGCACGCGCGCGCGCATTTTCGTAAATAAAAACCGCGTTCGTCCTAAAAATAAATTTTCTTGCGGAGGGGAGGGACTTTTAGACTGACAGCGTAAAAAGCTCGGGACTCGGAATCTCGTTTCCTCCCGGTTGACAAGGGCAGAGCCGTATCGATCTCCCAGTTGTCTATCGACGTTAACTTAAAGGTACCTTTTCCCTCTGGTTGGCAGAGCTTTGCGAAGCGGCGACGAAGATCCAGGCATCTTTCCGTGGCCACATGTCGAGAAAGGAGCAGGCTACAGCCCTTGTGAAATCGGCGGAGGACGCCATGGAGAACTTGGAGGACAAGGTAAGTCGGTAATTCTCGTTCGTTTAGTTTAGTAGGTACGAAATTGGCCCATAAACAGGGGCGAATCACCTCCTGTGCTTCTGCCACCGTAATTCTTTATTTCTGGAATTGACCCATCTCGGAGGACCAACGTAAAATGTCACGTTAACGCAACATTTTATTTGACACCAGTGCTACCGGTGATTGAGGCGCAGAATTTTCATTAAGAGGGATTAAAGTGAAAGAAACAGAAAATGAAGCTTCATATATTTCACGAAAAATCACTGTTTAAATCACTGTTTTCCTATAAAGTTTCTAGTATTACAAATTGGTCATTTTGACCAATAGTATTGAAATTCTTCTTTATAAATTTATACGATAGAACTTCGGGCGAAAAATAGTTTATGTAATTGGAATTTACATAAAAGAAGTCCTTTATGCTTGTGACTTTTCGCTCATGTAATAGTTCAGGTGGAAATAAGTGGATTCAACCAGCAAGAGTTCATTTAATCCCTTGATAGCTTATTTCGAGCGGAACTCGAGCAGAGTATCAAGTACAGAACAATGTACTAAAGTAGGTAAAGTATTTTTAATATTTTCGAAATTGTTATCTATGTAAAATGAAATTGTTGATAGCAAAGATCTCAACTGGACATGTAGAATGTGAATCGTTCAATACCAATTTCATAGAGAGAAAATTAGAAAAGAAACACTATTAGCCGGATTGTAACGTCAAGTTGTGTATCCTGTATTTCAAAATTTATTATACACATCGTAATTGTGAAAAATATTTTTCTGAGTTTTTTTTTTTCATACATGAAAGTATTTCAAAATATATTTACATTTTATAAATTTATAATTCATAAAGAGTTTATAAACTTCATAAATTTCATTTATATATTTATCATAACTTTATAAATTTCATTTATTCACACGTCGGGAGAGAAGATCATGGGATAACCGAGGATTTCGAATAATAAAGCTCACTAGCTTTTTCCATATTCTGTTCATATTTATATAATAAGAGATAGTAGGATAAACAAAAGTTGGATTCAATTATAAATGGTTCGCACAAACGAGATTCGAATAAACGAAGTTCTACTGTATTGCACTGTTCAGAAGTTAATTGGTTATTGACTAAAATATTTGGTTCGAGTAAATGAAGTTCATATAAACAGAGTTCTATTGTATATGAATTCAATAATGTATCTATTATACATCATACTAAATGTATCATTCTAAATATATTATTTTAATTACGCTGTTGTATATTATACTATTATAATTAAAACAGTGTAACAAATTGTTCAAATTACAATTCAAAGCCTATAATTTATCGCACGAGCTCTGAAAGGAAATTTCAAGAACTTGAAATATTTGGAATACTGTGGTAAATTATTGCTTGGTCCTTAACAGATCAAGTTACTTGTGACATGAATCTTTGTATCTTTAGATGACATTTTACGTATTTTTAAATACATATAAGAGAGGATTAAAGAAATTTTCTAACTAATTTCATATATAATAAAGCCTCTATTCAGATAGAAATTCATTTCACATGTAAAATATTACAAGAGATACCACAATTTGAACATTTTATATATCTTTCCCATATTACTCGCATTTTATGCATTTCTGCACTTTTAAATTTCTCACAAATATATGAAAATCTACAGATCCTCAATTACCTACAATAATTTATTCACTGTACGAAATTTCTGCTTAATCTTGCGAATTTCTTTTCGTAGAAATGTAAATTTGCATGAACATCGACCAATAATTAAATATTAAATATTAAATAACTAAAAAATTATTATATTTTCAATAGCTTATAAATAACTAAATAATAATTAAATAATTAAAAAGAAATAAACGATTCAGCTTAATCAAATCTTCATTTCAACAACAGATATCGTTGTTTTATTAAAACTAACGGCATGCGTCACTGTTGGAACTTCGCAATCGATCCGTACGCTGCAACTATAGCCAAGAATCGTTACATCCCCGTTCAACAGGGAATTCACCTTTAGTTCACATGTCGATAAAATTTATTCCCATTTTCTCTCGCGAGTATTAAGAATGATAGATACGGGAACGGCAGGAAAGAATAAAATAAGACGAAAATCACAGAGCGTCTGTTACAATAAACATCAAATGTATTTTCTTAGCGTCTAAACCCTGATTTTGATATCGCTCGCGTAATATCGATTCACGTGGCGTTAGGAGTGTAGAATACTCGTATATGCAATAGATGAAAATAACGCTGGTACACTCTTTCTTTCTTTTTTTTTTTTTTTTTTCTTTAAATATCTTCATACACGCTAAAATATTAATACTGTTAGCATTAACATTGATAAAATTAATCGACCAATTCGACGTCAGGCTCGCATTATCGAAGTAAATCTCCTTTCGTCGAAACCAAAAGTTATTGGATTTACTCTCGCCGAAGAACCGCGTAGTTTGTGATAAAAATATTGTGCGTGCAAGGATATTTCAAATACCTTCTCGCGGAAATCGAACGTGATAGAAAGTGAGAATGAAACACAGGAATATAATTTCTCGAATCTCAAAAACGTTGCGACAAACGTAGCAATGAAATTTTCTCTCGGCGAGGAATAGTTTGCAATATAAAAATATCGCACGTTCACAAAGATACTTCGAGAGAAGCTGCTGGCTCCGATATTTCCTTCGCCCATTGTACGCTCTTCGCGAACGTAATAATAAAAGAGAAAGAAAGAAAGAAAGAAAGAAAAAAAAATAGAAAGAGATGCAGGAAGATTCTTCAACGTTGAAATTTCTCAAATCTCAAGATGGAAAAAAGTTATGGCAAACGTGGCGGGCGGTGTTTGAAAACTCCGGCATTAAAGTTTCTCCTCGGTCTAAGAGGTTTCCATTCCATTGAGGATTTCTGCTGTCGTAACTAGGTTGCAACCCATATGCATCGTGTACGTATTATAATAGGCGTTGAAGTGCGGCTGGTTTAAAATTCAATGGGCCGTCCCCTCTCGAGATTAATTGGAAATCGATATTCTATTATCGAAAGTAATATCGTACTCCGCCGTGACCAATTCTTAATCAGATGCCTGATAGACACACTTCGAGCGTCCTCGTCGTCGTGTTATCTTTCTGTATCCTTTTCCGTTTCTCTCTCTCTCTCTCTCTCTCTCTCTCTCTCTCTCTCTCTCTTTCCCTCCCTCCCATCCCGTTTCGCCGATTCCCTCTTCTTCAATTTCGATAATGGACCGTTGATCTTTGTTAAATCGGCGAACGTCCGTCAAAAATTTTTTCCCTTCTCCGAAATCCATACCCGCTCGAAATTTATAGGCACTTGAGTTCCATTAGCGACATAATGGAGACGGGAGATGGCGGCTTGCCTCTTTTAGTGGAAATATACATCTCGGTTAGAGAGGAATAAAAGGGATAACGCCTTGAAAGTGATATTTCTTACCGGGGATCGCTTTTTACACTGCGAACCGACTTCTCAGCCTTCTTGAATTTCATCGGAATTCATTTTTATCGACGATGATACGAGGGAAATTGTTGAAATTACAGCGGGAGTTATTTTATACGGGGGATTAATTCGCTCGTAAATCGCTTATTTGACAAATCGATTAATTTCGGGGAACGAAATGCCGAGATATTGTTGAAATACAGTGTACATACTTTTTTGAAGTTCTTTTTGATATTTGAATTTAAACGAACATCGTGTGGCTCTTTTATTTATCACCAGGGGTGGCTTTCGTCAAACGACATGCAAAATGCATAAAATGGTACATAGTCTTGAATTAATCACGCTTCTGAAATAAATTATTTATTATTGCACGACCAAAAAGACTTTTTGTCATTTAGTGAAAGCTAAGTCTAATTATTAAGAAAGTTTGTTTTATATTATATTAGTCAAGTTTATCTTAAATATCAATCGAGTTTGTGTTAAATATCAATCTAATTTAAAAAAAATTCAAAAAGCGCTTTTAATCACTTTGGCCTCGCAGATATTTTTTTCGTCGCATGCTCCCGTGGCCATTTTGACTTAACGAGAAGAAAACCTTTCGTCACAGCGTTCGTTTGTCGCAACACTGTATCCCAAGTTTATCATTGAAAAATACGCTGGCGAAGTGTAAAATGTAATTGAACTGCACGTGACGTAAATGTAACTTAATTACACGTAAAAATTATTATGCTCAATCACGTCTTTATTCCTTAATCATTTGGCCTTTGGACAAACAATTTTTTCTTTGTGATTTTTCATGCGCATACACACACCTACCTTAACATACTAGAATTCTCTCTAGAACGTGACACGTGCTCTTTTATTTACAAAAATATCAGTGGTCTTTTTTCCATTGCGCGTGTTCCACGCGTTTGCAGCAAATTAAATTTTAATTAGTAATTAAAGCGAGAAAAATCTGTTTAGCAATTAAAAGTAGAAAAATTGTCTTCCACAAAGATGAAATCTTATATAATCATCGAGTCAAAGCTAAAGTATTTAATGAAAAAAGAAAAAAAAATCTAACGTAAAAATTTTATTTCTCGTTACTTTTAGAGAAAGAAAGCAAATTCGACCCAGTCACCGCCATACTCTCTCCATCATCCGAGAGAATGAATGAATAAATGAATAAAATTATTCTCAAATAATTCGAGAGACCGCGCATCCAGAGCAATAACAGCGATACGTCGTGTCATAAAAATATTTTTAAATTCTCCAAGTTGAAGATTTTATCGAAAGCTAATACCTATTACATTCATATATGCATTGATACATCGTGTCACGTTTTATCTGCCGCCCGAACGAGTTACTCGAATAAGGGAAATTCGATTTCGTAGCGTTTGCGGCTGATTCGATTATGCGATTCGTGTGCATTCATGTATAGGTAATACAGCGGCAGACGCGATGAAGGATCTGCGTTTTTTCTTGGTGAGGATATGTTGCGCTCGTGGGAATCATAGAAATTCCTTCGCGGTGAAACATTTCGCAGCGAAACGTAAAGCCTGATCCTCCTTCCGCGGCGTCTTGTCGCTGG